GGGTCGCGCAGCTTGAAGTGGTTGAAGCGCGACCCTGCCGACGCGCCTCCGTGGAACTCGAAGCCCTGAGGGTCCACCATGTTAGGATGCGAGAGTGCGAGGTCTGCAGCGAGAGCTAGGGGAAGTCGAGTCCGAGTCGCGGTGAAGCGGCTAACGAGAGGGCAGGAACAGCTAGGAAGCGTAGGGCAATACGACACAGAGCAGGTGGTCTGAAGCTGTGTCACAAGGTCTCTTAGTAAGTAAGAGACCGTGACAAGCGAGCTGAAGCGGCGTCGAGAGCAGCCGTAGAGCAGTCGAGACGGCAGCTGAGCCCGGGATATTAAAACTGGGGCAGTCCGATGGCGAACCGGACAGAGCCAAAGTGTGTAAAACACTTGGGCTCCCGACTGATAGTCTCGTCAGTTTGCGTCAGGATGCCTTGTCTTGTGCGGCCTTGCCCCAGCTCGTCGAGACGCCAACGCCGACTGCTTGCCCGTCAAGGTTGAAGCCGACGTTGTTGAGCTCGCGAGTTAGGTCGTGTCCGTAGGAGATCAGCAGTCGCCCATTGCGTCGCGGTGCGTTGACCCACGATGTCATGAACATGCGAGGAAGTCTCGACATGCGTATGCGCGTCACATGTCCCGCCCAGCGTAGTTTCCGATTGGAAATATACTGGTCGATATTTGTGACGCCGAGGGCGACGTACTGCGCGGCGCGATGGCAGCGTACTTGAAGATGTAGTCGGAGGAGGAAGCGCAGCGGCTTTTTCCTCGCCATCGCTCGCACGCAGCGGTTGTGGAACGCGCTCCGCCTTTGACGCAGCGTTAAGGTCAGGACCAGGATTCGCAGCCGTAGAGCAAGACGCCGAGCACGAGGCATCGGTAGAGCTTGCCCTTGGAGGCGATTGGGAGCGACGTGGAGCCGCGGCAAGACGTACCTCCGCAGACAGCCAAAGGCTGCGGCTGCAGATCGGATTCTGTGCTCGATCTCGTCGTCGTCTGTTAGGGATGACGAAAAGGTTGAGCCGAGGTACCAAAACCGGTCGGTGAAAGTGACGATGCCGAGCGCGTCGTCGATCTTGAGAAAGAGAGTGTCGTTAGTTGTTGCCTGCTGCCAGGACTAATAATGATAGATGTCTGACGTACCGACCAAATCAGTGATAGTTAGGGCCTCGGAAGGGGCCGGCTCTTAGAAAAGGCGTAACGTACGGGGATTATCCGTGGGCCCCCGGGGGCCCCGTGGGCCCCCGGGCTATGTAACAAGTTAGTTATATGTTAGTCACATAGGCGCCTCCGGCGGGGCCCCCGGGGGCCCTGCGGGGCTTTCTAAGAGCCGGGGAAGGGGTACAGGGGATCGCGGGCAATAAGAAACCGTCGTGTTAAGAAACTGAGCCTCTTTTTTGGCCCTTCAATAGTAATTTTAACCAAAATTTAACATTTGTTTGTATGTAATTTGCTAAGAAACTCAGCCTCAGCTTCAAAAAGCGCCGTTCTTATTGCCCGCGATCCCCTGTATAGAGGTTGAATAAAAGAGATTGAAAGAATGAGACGTTGCTGATGTGTTTGAATTATGCTTTTCAGAGCGAAGAAAGGCACACACAATTGAAACTCGATCGAAGTAAATGGAAAAAAGAATTTTCCCGACGGGGAATCGAACCCCGCTCTCAGGAGTGAGAATCCTGTATCCTGACCGATAGACTATCGGGAATTGGTACGAGGGAAGACAGGAATATTGCACAATTTATACACTCACTGCAATTTATTTAAAAGTGGTTGGCCAAAGTTTGGATGAAGCAGCGGGCCTTTTGAGCTCGTCAGGCTGACGTTTGGGCAGGCCAGGCTCCGCGCAACGCCTACTCCCCGTGATGGGCCATCTCGCGCCCATCACCGGCACGCAGGCCGCGGCTATCGTCATCTGCGCGGCTGCCATCGTCCTCCTGGCTGTCCTGCTGAAGTGGACCTGCCTCCGACTCCTCCTGCGCGCTTTCTGCAGACGCAACCGGGCCGAAGCTCACAAGCGGCCCACGGCCTTCCACTTCAAGCTCGCCCTGCGGCTCTACAGGCCCCGTCTCAACGCCGACGACGCGGCCCTCGACGAGGCCGAGCTCAGTCTCCCGGGTGCATTAGTACGCGTCTTCGTCGCGAGCGCGTCCTCCTCGTTCGCATGGACGACCCGGTCTGTCTCGATCGGCGCGGAGGGCGGCGCGCCGACACGGCAGTTGCTGGAGTCGCTCGCGTCGCCGCGCGGGACGATGATGCTCCCTAACGAAAACGAAGCCGAACCTGACAGGCGCCTCATCAGCGGCGTGGGGACCCAGCCCTTGCTCCTACGCTCGGACGCCCGGGGCACTGTCTGGGTGCAGGTGAGGGGCCTGCCCCTGCTTCGCAAATCGACATGTCGGACAAATCAGCAGCAGGCTGGGTCTGAGCAGGAGGAATCGCAGCCCATCCCCCCCCCCCTTTTTGGTTTGCCCATGTGCAGTGGAGTGGCGACGCGGCGCCGATTTTTGAAGTGAACGCGTCGGGGCTGCACCGCACAACTCTGCGCGCCGCTCCGATGAACCTCCTCGAGGTGTGTACATATCTAGAAATACGTCCGTTCCTGACAGGTCTGCACCGGACCCAAGCGTTGATAAACACTCGGATCAAGGGACCTTTGCAGAGCACACGGATACCGTCCCCACCACCGAGGCTGATCAGACACACGACACACGACAATTGACGGGCTTTTAAAAGTAGAACATGTGACATATGAGTGCGTCTACTCGCGGTGTTCTTCTAAAAATAGAGACGCTGCCTGGGTGACCGACCGCTGTCGCGCCCACACGCTCGGAGTTCGCCTCTTAATGTCTGCAACCCACCGACTGTTGCTCCACCTTTGTATAACCGCTGGAGCCTCCCGACGGTGAATTGGCAAATCCGTAGATCTGCAGTTTTGCCAATGCGATAATTAGGCATACAAGGTTGTGAACCTTAAACTGGTTTTAACCAATTACAGTTTGAACTTTCGGTAGCAACACAGAGCTGGCTCCAGCGGTAAGTCGTAGTTTAAAAGAATATGAGACATCTCAGTGCGTCTAATGTCCTTCCCCCCTCTAATATGTTAACATTATTTTCATCCTGAATATTAGGTTTGTGAGCTAGCTCAGAAATACAGCAGTTCATTGTAACTCCCCTTCCGAGCCTCCATCCCCCCCCCCCCGCTGCTCCTGCCATCTGCCCCCTTCCCTCTTTTAGTGCTAACCTTATCAAATGTTTTTCAAATACTGCAGGTTCGTGAACTAGCTCAGGAACGACAGCAATTCATGGTTACGCTTGCGTCAGTACAGGCGCGTGCTCGCATGGAGCTAGGCGGCACGTCGTCTGAAATTTCGCTGAAATTGCAAAAACAGCAAATCTGCCTCAAATCAGTTATTAGGTGCGTCACTACTTTCCCTACCCTTAATAGCCCTAGCGCCAGTGCTTGCCCTTGCCTTAAAGCCATAGCCCTTGCTCTAGCCCTTGCTCTAGCCCTTCCTCTAGCCCTAGCCCTAGCCCTAGCCCTTAAACTACTTCTGAACTATCGCCAACAAATTCTCGTAATTCTCTGCCTTCTGGCCCTAATGCCCCCCCCCACACACACACCTACCCATCACCACCACCACCACACACACAAACACACACACACCCCTATTGTAGGTTTGCGAAAAACGCCGACGGTTTTGAGGACGCGCTGAAGGCTGAAAGGCAGGTCGCAGCGTTGGCTACTGCTCTGCACGCCTGCAACCGACTTCTAACCGAGCACGGTGAGCTAAGGACACCCCCCCCCACCTACCCCCACCCCCTCTCCCAGAACTTCTAACCGAGCACGGTTAGCTATGGCTAGCTATAAACCCCCCCCCTCCTGCCTCTTTTTAATTCTGACATTATTTCCAATTCCTGCCCTCCCCCCCCCCAACAACCACAGGCCTGAGTGAGCTGCACATCATAATAGAAGGGCAATCACTCGATTTCGATCAGGATTCTTTAAACCTCGCAAAGCGACGCGCGTCATCCGTCATGCATTTATTGGTGGAGCAGGTGATTGCTTTTTAAACCCCCTGCCCACTTCCACCTCTCTACTATATCATGTTATCCCTCGACTAATAACCCCTAATTTTTAAACCTCGCAAAACGACGCGCATCATTCGTGATGTATTTATTGGTGAAGCAAGTGATCGCTATTTAAACCCCCCCTTCCCCCTTCCCTTCTTCCTTTCTCCCGTATATGATCACATTTCGATCACCTTATCCTCGCAAATTGCAACTCGGGCGGTCGACCTAA